TATATATATATATATATATATATATATATATATATATATATATATATATATATATATATATATATATGTATATTGTGTGTGTTAATATCATTTCTTTATTTATTTGCATACTCTAGTAAAAGATCAAAAATATTTTAATATTTTGTTTTTAATATTCTTATCAAGTTTTTATTTTTGATATTATTAAAAATATATATAAAAATATGTTGTAACTATTAGTTAATATAAATATTAATATTTAAATTAATTAATAATTTCTTGTTGTCCGATTCCAAAGGAGGATCCCTTTTGTTGACTACCATGTCATACTTAGTCTAACCTTAGGTCCTTCCTCTTTCATCCTAGCCATAAGATTGAAGTCGCCGTACTCTACGTGAGTGTCCTGCCATGAATATTTCCTTTTCCGTTTATCCTAGCCTTAGGATTATAGTCACCGCACTCTTTGTAAGTGTCCTGCCATGGACACTTACCTCCCTTTTAACCTAGCCTTAGGTTTAGAGTTTCTTAACTCTATGTAGGTGTTCTGCCATAAACACTTACCTCTTCCCTTTGAAACCTTGACCACAGTCAAGAGTTCCTCACCCTTATTGAGGGAAACTACGAATGTTCTGATTCCATTCCCGTCAGGATACGCAGACATGAGATGCGATGTCTTGGCGAGCATACTTAGAAATAACACCTTAGGTATCCCTTTGCCTTTTCACCCTTTAGAAGACAGAATAACAAATAACACAATAAAACAAGAGGTTCTTGTAGAGTACTACAGATGCTTAGGATGCTAACACGTTCCCTAGGTATAATCAACCTCCAAATATTAGATTCTCTTTCGCTTTGCATTGTACTGCATATTTTGGGTTATTCGTTCTTTATCCCTTCCCTTGGATAAATTAAATATCAGTGGTAAATTAAGATTCTGTGGTTCAAGTTAATTCAATAGCTTGATATTCAATTCTCACCGCGACATGTGGATTTAGAGACAAAGGTTATAGAATTACCAGACTGAGCAACGACAACAAAAGACAATGGTTAATGGGTTGCTTTAAACTTGAAGAACTCGTTATAATCAGCGACCAAAATAATAATATCTTTATTGATAGGTTGAACAACAAAATTAACTCTAGGTTGTCGTTGTTGTTCTCTTTCCTTTGTACGACATTCAACTTCAATATGTCTGTAACAATTGCAATAGTTACAATGAATACCATGCCGATGAGCACCACATCCTCTATTTTGTTTACCACGTCCTCCGTTTTATCCACCACGACCATGATAGTGGAAAGCAAGAGCAGATGATTCAATGGGATATGGATTAAAGATCTGCCCAAAAGCACGAGGAGTAGCCAAACGCCATGATGGTAGTATGATATGTGCCATGATCATGAAAAACTTGTTACAATGGTATTCATGATTTGTTGCATCATTTGTAAACGACATTAAGGGTTGAAAAATTAGTCTTCAACGAATCAAGTTTACTAAGATACGTTTGCATATCAATATTCTTCAATTTCAAAGAGTTGAGATTAAGGATGACACTGTAGAGACAATGGACATCTTTTGAGAAAACTTTATTAGCCTTTTTCCAAACCTCATAGCAAGTGGTAAAGACTTGATATTACTCTTAAAGATTATGCGATATGGAAAACCACTAGACGGTTCATAGAGAGGCATCCATTTGCTTCTATTTAGTGCGATGAAACCATAACTTAACGACACCGGCCCATATGTTGTAGTTGGCTGTCCCGGTTAATTTCTTGCACAAGATGAGCACAACTTTGGTAAAAGTGACGAAACCAGTTGCGGATGGACCTCCCATGATACTTAATGGCTGAAAAATGTGAAAACAAGGTTACTTAGTTGTAGGGAGGACAATGACGATCAGAACAAACAATGAAACGAGAAAAAAGTGCGCCAGAAAATGGATTTAATGTAGTGCGTGTGGGGCTCATGTGTCGGGACTGTAGCAGTGTGTGAGGGTGCGTGTGATGTCAGTCAGAGGTAAACATTATAGCTTTGGGTTCATTAGAGTATTGCGAACCTAGTGGCTGTAGTATAGTAATAATCAGATGCACAATGGAGGAGAACTTAGACCTGTAGCGTAACTTTGTATTGTGCGCGACGAGGTTTCTAGAGCAAAAAAGAAAGGACTGTGAAATCATTAACTTCTGATACCATATTAAAGAGTATTTTATAAATAATGTTGTATATCTAATGAGATCAAACTAGGGCATATTTATATTTGTATGAGTTGTATACAATAAATACAATTGATATTAGTGATGAATGACTCTTAACAAGGGGAAAGACCCAAAACACGGAGATCATAAAACTTTCAACTAATAATGTTATCACCTCATATTGCCATAGAGGCTCAGATTTTTTTTACATTATCACTTACAAGTAGAGCGGCTAATAGGATAAAACTTTACTAACTGGTGTGATAAATACTTGGGCGGAGCTCACAAAATAATTTTTGGAAATATTTTATTTGGTAAGCAAATATGTTAACGAGATGGCTGATATCACAAGTTTCAAATAGGGAGAAGCTTAATATCTTAACAGTATGTTTGTGGAATTGGTATACACTTATGATAAAAAAAAATGCCGAAAACATAATCTTGATAACTTGGCATATGTACAGCATTTTAAGCAGGGAGAGCAACCTCAAGAACGTTATTAGATGTCTCAATTGGAGGCAATACGAATACAAAGTTTGATACTGAAGTGGAGGAGATAATTGAAAATATGGCACAAAATAAGTATCATACGATGACATTCTATGATATTAGAATAAGAGTAACAAGAGAATTTGATATTAAAAGTGCATTGTTAGCCAACCACAAGTAAATGCAAGCTTAGTTAATCACATTGATCAAACAACTAGCATATTCCCAAAGAGGATAACATCAAGTACAATAGGTAAAACAAACACTAATGTGTAGTTACTATGGTTGTGGTCATGCCAATGGTCAATGTAACTATTAAGGCTTCTCTGAAGAGGAAGAGAAATTATCAAAGTAAAAATCCTTTCTTTAGAACATACATTCGTGCATGGAGAATCCATCCTAAGTTCAAGTGGAGTGTCAACTAGAGAGAAAGTTCTAACCAAAGTCAACAACATCAACCACAGTACCACAATCAACATCAAAGGCAACCTCAAGAGTCATATAAAAATCAACAACAACACACTCAATAATACCAAAATCAACCTCAACAAAGACCTCAATAAATGTATCAAAATGATCATTAGTAGCAACCAAGGAAGTATCTGAATGTGGAGTAAGCATTGAGTCCGTTCATACAAGTGACACATGATTGATTTAATGTTATTAATCTTTTTCAAGAGACTACTAACAATGACAATGAAGGGCCTATCAGAACTTAGAAACTCAAATCAAGTTGTAATCAAAACGGGTATTCTCCCAATCGAATGGCAATTATGCATGAAATGATGGATTTAAATGATTTTAATAGATACAAATTATAATATATTATAATATCAAATGAATAATCAATAATAATAAGAACGGTATATCTTGTAGAATTTGAGAGACGACCATGAGAAGAATAAGTATGAGAGAGTTACTACCCTCATTGCCGTTTATGTTTTTTTAGTATGTTAATTGTCTAATGGGAGACACTTAAATAGCTAAACGGCTGAGGTAGATACCTCTCATTGGACTTAACTGAATGGTCCAACCCATTACGATTCATTCAGACACAAAATCCAATCAAACAATTTATTTATTTAGTATTTAATAACAATAGACCATACTATAAGAATTCATATAATTAATCTAACATGCAATGTACTTAATAACCCAAATAAAAATGAAAGATGCTACATGATCAGTGTGAGAAGAACCGAGCCTATCACAGTGGAAAATTTTATGTGTCAAAGAAGACATTCGAAAAGGTTGAGGATGAGAGTGAGGGGCAGGTTGAAAAGAAAGAGAGAATAGTGAACCAAATTGAAAAAAGTGAGAAAAAAGAGAAAAAATTGTGAATAGAGAAGAAAATAAAGAGAAATAAACTCCACTCCTTACAATATTACCTTACCTTCAACTAAATAATTTTTTTTTAAAGACAGTCAATTTAAAACATTCCTTTAAATGTTCAATATCCTACTCACAATGACAATCATTTCGTCTGCAGAAGCATTACGACAAATTTCAACTTATGCAATAATTTTTTTAGAGCTTATGAAAAAGGAAGCGAGTACTTCCAAATAACCAAAAACTGAACCTATCTTAAGAGTGTGATGCTATAATCCAAAGGAATCTCTTGGTGCTTTTTTAAGTACATACAACATATTTGAGCTTATACACCTTTACATCCTCCTTTTGATATTTAAGAGGTTGTTCAACGTATACATCTTCAAAATAGGTAGTCCCTCAATCTAATAACAACTATGAAGGAAATACACTTGATAAAACAAGTTAAATTATATATCTTGATATTTATTTGTATTTTTTTATATGTGTAGTTTTCTCATCAGCTTAATGGTATAGATTGCAGTTATTTCTCATCAGCTTAGACGACCATATTTAAAGTAGGATATTGAGGACAAAACAAAATGAAAAAGAATCTTGATTAACACAAACTAATAAAACTGCATTTTGTGAACAAAGAGAATCTGGTGTTGGCTCTGAAAACCAATGGTATAAGATATTGATCAATTCATTAGCTTTTGATTACGCATACAACACAAGTAGGTTAATTACTTCATAATCAAGTAACTAACCAACTAATTAACTGCATTAATCCTAACATCTCTTGCAATCCAAAGTGAACATAAAAGTAAAATATCAATCATCTTCATTTATTTAATACCTCATAAGTTACATCTCATACAAATAGTGATTCCTGTGGTTGTCTATATAATCACATCACGTCTCCTCATACATGAATAAAACATTTTGAGGTGACAGACATAACATGATAACATATATAGTTTTATTATACGATGATATATCAATATAATTAGTTAGTTGTTAAGTTTTTCAAGGACCCTTGCCATTGCCAGGCTTCTTTGAATGCTTTGGGTTGGGCCCTGCTTCATCATAATCCAACACAAAATCATGCGACAATAGCTTCCTTGAGTTTGTCTTTATACCATCCTTCATTCAAAAACAAAATGAAACCAAAATACTTGTTAACTAAAAACAACAATATCTAAACATCAAATAATCAGAAAAATATATATATAATAAAATACCTTGTAAAAATAGTGATGAGTAGGAAGCATATTTTCTCTGAATCCTTCATCAGCTAACCCTAAAAGAAAACAAATATATATTATATATATATATATATTTGAAATAATCTCTAAAAAAATTTAATCTAGTTATATAAATTAATAACTTGTTTACCTGAAGATATAGGAAATGGAATAAAGACCAAGAGTGTAACTAAAAGAAAAATTTTGATTTGATGTTCCATGGCAAGTATATGATGCAATGAAGGGATATGTGTATTATTGTTCCTCTCTTAATGAGAAACTACATGTAAATGTCTTGGCAAGGAAATGAAGATAGGGGCACCCCTTTTAAAACAGAAAGAGAGTGCTCTTGTCATGATGAAATGCAATAACTTTTCACAACACTTGTTAAGTCAACTATAATATTCCATGTATATATGCATGTATGGACTATAGAATAATTGCATTAAGAAAAGACAAACAGTTCAACTTTTTTATTTGCATGTGCACCTAAAATTTCCCTGCATGGCTCAAAATCAGCTAGCCATTACATCTTGTGTTGTGTGATTATGTCCACCTTTTCATAAGTCAACTTTGAGTTGCACTTGCAACATTGCTACATAGTTTATTTTATTTACTTATGTGCTTGTCAATTTTTTAATCCCATGTTAATAAAATGTTTAAGGTCATTTTCAATTAGCTTATGGAAAATCAACCACATTCATGTGAATTGCTATAGTGGTGAAAGTTGATAAATCCTTCTCGTAGATTTGAAAATTTTCCCTGGTACTAATCACCGCATAAAAATGAAATGATGCTTTTGATTATTTTGGGTTTTACCACAATTTTTAGGCAACAGATGGAGACAAACATGGAGAGTGGGCTACAGAAGAAGAGAATTGAATGTGGAATGCCCTTAGTGGGTGCACTAACAAAAAAGGAGAGAAAAAGACAGTATTTACTAATTTAATCATAAATTTAAACTCAAATATTGAATTTAATGTCATAAATTTTGTTTCAAGCAAATATTTAAAATTCAAGAATTGTTATCATAAACCAGATTTGGTACTTGACTACAAAGATAAATTTTTTATTTTATTTTATGAATTTCAATAAAAATCAAATAAAAAAAAATCGCCATGAAGTTTACAGAATTAATTCAAGTACTTACGAATGAAGAAAAAAACTCATATACATTCCAAGAATTTTCATTATCTGAATAAGAAATTTTTTAAAAATTGTCACCAAAAGTTTCATATGAAAGCACAAATACTATATATGAAGAATCTTTTGGAGAATCATCATTGAAAAAATCGTATGAAGAATCATTATATCAAAATTTCAATCCAACATACAAAAATTGTATAGCATCACAAAATGGAGTTGTAACTACATAAGAAGAGTCGGTTAAAGAAACATCTTCATCTTTCATAGCTTCATCAAAAGATTAGTTTCAGAATTTAAGTGAAGCATCTTTTCACTATGCCAAAAAAGACCTTTAGCAGCGCTTTTTTTGGCCTTTAGCAGCGCTTAAAAGCGATGCCAAAAGTGGCGCTGCTAAAGGTAAAGGCAGCGCTTTTTTTAAAGAAAAAACGCTGCTAAAGGATCCCTTCAGCAACGCTTTTAGCAGCGTTTTTTCACCCTATAGCAGCGCTTTAAAAGCGCTGCCTATTCCCCCTTCCCCTCCCTTCAGCAACGCTTTTAGCAGTGTTTTTTCAACCCTATAGCAGTGCTTTTCCCTCCCCCCTTTAGCAGCGCTTTAAAAGCGCTGCCTTTTCCCCTTCCCCTCCCTTCAACAACGCTTCTAGCAGCGCTTTTCCCTCCCCTCCTTTAGCAGCGCTTTTTAAAGCGCTTTCATAGACCCCCCCTCTTTTCCAACCCATAGCAACGCTTTTTTGGCCTCTCTTTGCACCCTTTAGCGGCGCTTTTTTTAAAAGCGCTGTCTATTCTTCACGATTAAAATTTTTTTTTTTAAAATAATCATATTTTTTATATATTTTTCGATAAACCTGCTTATAACAATTACATTCCCTGCTTATAATTCAGGTCTTTAATTCAACAGTTTGGCCTTATATATAACAATTACTTTGGCCTTATTTATGTGTATTCATCACTTTGCCCATAACCATTTTAATACACATAAACCTGCTTAAATATATTACAACATCACAAAATACATTCAATCCTCCAATTATCACAAATACATTCAATTTACATATAATTATAAATCCGATAACTTTACAAATAGATACGTTATACAATTCTCAACTCAAGAATAAATTGACACCAATCCTCCTTAATTTCTTCCAATCTTGCTTTCAAGTAAGTACCGCACTTGTATTCATCAAAGTACTACATAATATAACAAAACATGCACGATTTAATTTTAAAACTAATTACTCAGATGAAATATCGGTTAATTATCAAAATGAATCATATAACTTATGAATTGATCCATACCAGGATTGGAATCTCTATTTGACCTGAAAGAATAATTTCCTTCATAAAGCGCAATACAAAAGTAATTATTTTCAAGAACAAGAATCTTGATCTACAAGAACAAGAGTCAATAAGTAATTATTTTCACTTCAATAAATGAGCATAACAAACAAAAATTAAAGCTTCAATAATAATTTTTGTTATTTGAAGCTTCAATAATAATTTGTGGTTCTGGTAAAATTCCATGAAAACCTAACAAAAATTAAAGCTTCAATAATAATAATACACAACACAATTCAGAAACTGTTGTGCTAACATGTCTCCTAAAATTCTTGGAAGTAGTTGAAGGAAAAAACTAACAAGACAACCATGAAAACCTTACAACAGAACATGACATGTACAAGGTTTCTAAGTTTCATTCTACTTCATATTTTCCTCTTTGCCTTTACAAATGCACAATTACCATATACAAAATTTAGTTATTGCCAGAATTCAACAGAAAAAACAAACAACACAACATACCAATCCAACATTAACAAAGTTATTTCATGGATAAACTCTGATTCTGCAGCAGGCACAGTATCTAACCAAACCACCATTCACAAGATATAAATAATTCTTAATACTAATATGTAATTTACTTTCACAATTTTCTTCATGTTTTGGAAGAAAAAAATGTTGTAATTTATAAACACATTCTTTATAATCATAAAATTCATTGTGACATTTCAACAAACACATTGTATACAAAACTCAAGCCAATATCAAAAGAGTAGTTCTCATCAACGGTATCAACAAAAACAAGTCAATAACTCAGAAAAGAAGTAACACTAACATCATATAATCCAGAAAAATGAAATACTAAGACAATAATCCAGAAAAATGAAAAATGAAAAACTTCAAATACCGTAACAATGGCGGAAATGCGCTACAGAGGCTGTCAAAAACGGACGGTCAAATGAAGGAGATATGCAACACAGGCTGAACGGAGGTGAGCGACGGAGGAACGACAGTTGGACAGAGGAGGGCGACGGCCGGTCGTGGTGAATAGGGTTCTGGTTCGCAGAAAAGAGAAAGAAGAATGAAGAACGCGCGAGCTAGCAATGTGTTATGTTTCTTTAAAAAATTCGGTTATATTTTAATTTAATTATAATAACACCTATGGCAGCGCTTTTTATTATCTACAGCAGCGCTTCTCAAAGCGCTTTCTTTTCTAAACCATATAGCAGCGCTTTATAAGTAAAGCGCTTTCTTTAAAATTTTGTGATAATTTATTTTAATAATAATAACACCTATGGCAGCGCTTTTTAATACCTACAGCAGCGCTTCAAAAGCGCTGCCTTAGCCCATGGATATAGCAGCGCTTTACATGGAAAGCGCTTTCTTTGGCACATACCTATAGCAGCGCTTTAGAAAAGCGCTTTCTTTGGCACACCCTACAGCAGCGCTTTAGAAAAGCGTTGTTCTAGCCCATGCCTTTAGCAACCCTTTAGCAGCGCTTTTCCTAAAAGCGCTGTCGTAGGTATGCTGTTTTTTTTCTTCTTTTTTTTATTACACTATAGCAGCGCTTATTAAAAAGTGTTGTCTTTGGTAGGCAATTTTTTTTCTTTTTTTTTAATGACTCTTTAGCAGCGCTTTTTTAAAAAGCGCTTGTCTTTGTATGCGCTGCTAAAAGTCAATTCTGTTGTAGTGTTTAAAAGATCAACTAAAGAATAATATGAAGAGGAAATATTTGCTTTAAATCTATCGATGAAGAGGATGATGGTGTGGTAACAACCCAAACTTACAAAAGAATGTTTGTCTTAAATGTTATGATTAGAAAGAAAAATGAAAACTTAGAATGAAACATCTCAACTTTGAAATATCATATTGCCGGAATAATTCTGAGTCAGCTTCACTCTTCCAGCATTTATTTTGCCGGAATAATTCTGTAGCACCTGGCTACCCCCAGCAGAGTTGGCGTTGTCTTCAACATTTATTTTGCTGAAGCGGTTTCTGTATCCCCAGCAGCTCGAGCCTGCATTTGCATCGGCATATAGATTCTGCATTTGCATCGGCATATAGAGTCTGCATTTGCATCGGCATATAGTGTCATATTTGCATTGGCATATAGTGTCATATTTGCATCAGCATATAGTGTTATATTTGCATCGGCATATAGTGTCACATTTGCATCCACCAAATAAAAACGCGTAGCATTTCCAGGCCGAAAGGAGCATTGCGTCATTGTCAAACATATGCATTTTGAAGCATAAACCAGGTTGGTTACCCGTTTGTTTGCTCTCTTGCAGGTGGAAGGAGCTCTTACTCGAATGAATTACCAAACATTCAAAGATCTCGACGTGAGACATTCAGCGAAAGTGTCAGCTTGGCACTATCCCCTCACAGAGTTATCATGATGAAGTTCTCTTTGTCTCCGAACAGAGTTATTTGTGTAAATAGGCAAAATTTCTCCTCATTCTCAAGCAGAGTTATTTGTCATCAAAGGGTTTCAAGAATCAGAGTTTCAGAGGCTACCGCCGGTTATTAGAACAGGCGTCCGGAAGTTTGGTTTCCAAATATCCCCAGCAGAGTCGCCAGCTGTCGCTACTGCGAAAATCGGCGCCGACTGAACAGAAGAGTCGCCACCGTGCGTTATTTATCCCACGGGAGGGAAAGGAAACGCTCAGAGTAAACCTCGCACAACGCGGGAAAAGGCATGGTCGTCGCAACCAAAATCTGGATTCGGGAGTCGGTTACGCAAGGGGAAGGTATTAGCACCCCTCACGTCCGTCGTACTCGACGGGATCCACGCTTGCTTGGG